GGCTGTGAAGATCAGCGTATTTCCTTTAGATAATTTAAAATAATAGCATGCTTAGATTGTGTTTACTCCCCAAATGGGCTGGGCTATGCTGGAACCAGGAGCCAAAAACTCCATTCAAGTGCCTATTGGGCCATCTGCTGTTGCTTTCCTAGGAATGTTATTAGGGTCCTGGGTTAGAAGTGCAGTAAGTCACGACTCAAATCAATGTTCAGATGGGATGTTACTGTAGCAAGCTTTGGCCTATCTCACTGTGCCACACACACACACACACACACACACACACACACACACACACACATTTAAAAAATTACTCTAGTAAAAAATAAATTTCACTAAGCATCCTACAGACTATCTTTTGCCATACTATTATTTATAGTTTCCAACTTGTATTACAAAAAATAGTTCATTGAATATAATTTAGATGTTAAAAAAACACAAAGAAGCAAATTAAATCATCCACTTTTTTTTTATAACTTAAAGATGATCACTTTATGTTTTCATGTACATCTTTCAGTCTTTTTTTATATATCTATGTAACAAACTAAGAAGTATATTAAATTTGGTGGGTATAAAATATGCAAGATTTACGTAAGTGCCAATTTGGGGGAGAGAACTAAAGAAAGTGAAAGAGCTAGAAACTACGTGGCTTATTGATTCACAGTGCTGCCATAATATATTGACAGGCAATTATCCCTGAAGACCTACAGGGGAAATTTTTGCATATCACTGACTTACTAAGTCAGACTTCTCCTTCAGGACTGCTACTTTAGCCAGCATCATGGAAACCTCTTGGCTATTTGCTTCAAAGTCTTCAACATGTGTATTTTGCAGGGCAAAGCCAGCCAGATTCACATTGGTAGATTAGGATTCAGGAGAGTCTAATCGTGGGCCTGGGGATGTCAGGTTTAGAGTAAACATTCTCAAACCATGAAGATAGAATCAAAATTAAAATTTGCTAATTAGAGCGTCATTGTTGGGAGTCAGGTTAACTGGTTGGTGGTACATATGACTCATGCTGGGGAACCAAGCTTCTCTGCCCTCATACTCAAAGCACTTTCCCACCCATGGCATATTTACCTTAGAATCTGCAGCACCTGGACATTCAGTCAGACTTCACCATGCTGTGCAGTTGTGTTTCCAATCCTGTTTTCAAGAAGAAGAAAACTAAGTGTGATGGAGGACAAAGTCAAATAGTGAACTCAGATATCCGCAATTCCAAAGCCTCCCTCTTGAAATCGACCAGCTGTAGCCAAGCTGCCACACACCAGCAGATTTTATCTTCTTGTCTCTCTTACAGTTAAGCATTGCCCTGTGGTAAAGTCCTAGATAACTGAATCTGGGTGGAAAAGTGGATGTGGATGCCACTTGCAGGTTTGACACATGGAAATTGTCCACACACCACACTGCATATTTTCTGCTTTTCTGTTGGGTGGCTAGATGTCAGTATCCAAGGAGAACTTGCAAACCACATGACTGAAGATTCTCCATGTTCAGACTGAGTCCCTGAACAACTCTGTGGAAAGAGCATCTTCCCCCTACAAGGCCAACCTCCCCTTACTTAATGCCCATTGGATTTAACACAAGGGAGAAATAAAAAGCAAACAGCCTAAGTCACATAGAGCTGAGCCAATCTGAAGCCAGGAACCAGGAACTTCTTCCAGGTATCCCACGTGGGTGCAGGGTCCCAAGGCTTTGGGCCGTCCTTGACTGCTTTCCCAGGCCACAAGCAGGGAGCTGGATGGGAAGTGGAGCTGCCGGGATTAGAACCGGCGCCCATAAGGGTTCCTGGGTGTGTTCAAGGCAAGGACTTTAGCTGCTAAGCCACGCCGCTGGGCCCAGTAAGTCACATAGAAAATGAGTAGGTGAAGACTAGGTGAAGACAATTCTTCATGACCCCACAAGCTTGTACCATTTTGCATCCCTGTAAATTTATCTGCTGTAAATTAAACTACAGAAACCATGGGACTTTTTTTATACCTAAAAAACACACACATACACAAAACTGCCCAAGGAAGCTCTAACATAGACAGTTTTTCTCTTTGTTAGTCTCTGTGCCATAAAAATCTAGCCAATTTCTTAATGATAGCTGATTCACACTGGCTTGTCAGTTTTTCTATCCATAGCAACTTCTGCCCAAGCTAGATTGTCTTTTCTAACACTTAAGACCCATGCCAAATGTTATGACATTTGATGTTCCGTTTGGTTTTATTCTTGTTTGCTTTATGTGTTAAGCTTTGCTGTCCCTTTGTTATCTTCCCAAGTTGTTGCTGTTAAGTAATTTGCTTTTGAATGACTCAAGGGCGCAGCAATGATGACTTCCTTTGTTTGTTTTCGAATTCCAGAGGACCCTTAATATGATTTTTTTAAAGATTTATTTTTATTATTTTTTATTGCAAAGGCGGATATACAGAGAGGAGAGACAGAGAGGAAGATCTTCTATCCGATGATTCACTCCCCAAGTGAACGCAACAGTCGATGCTATGCCGATCCAAAGCCAGGAGCCTCTTCCGGGTCTCCCACACGGGTACAGGGTCCCAAAGCTTTGGGCGGTCCTCGACTGCCTTCCCGGTCCACAGGCAGGGAGCTGGAAGGGAAGCGGAGCTGCCGGGAGAACTGGCACCCATATGGGATCCTAAGGGACCTTAACCACTGCGCCACCATGCCGGGCCCTAATATGATTTTTAAAACAAATGCTGGCTAAATTCTGTCTTCATGATTGGGGTTCCTTCCTGAGGCATTTTTGCTGTAATTTTGAAACATGATCAAACTTCTCTACAATGACCTGCAAGGCTCTGTATTAATGGTTCTCAAGCTTCAGCTTGTTGAACGCCAATTCAAGACCCAAGGACATATGTTTCTGATGGGCAATGTTGTTGCTACTGGTCCAGGAATCACACTTTGAGAATGACTCCCCTGTGAGTTACTGAAACTCAGTAGCTCTGCTCCAGCCACATTGACTTCCTGTTCCTTACCCACAGCAGGTGTCCTCCTGCCCTAGGATTTTGCAATTTTTAAAAAGATTTTTAAACTTTATTTTTATTGGAAAGTCAGATATACAGAGATGGAGGAGAGACAGAGAGGAAGATCTTCCATCCATTGATTTACTCCCCAAGTAGTCTCAATGGCTGGAGCTGTGCCGAACCGAAGTCAGGAGCCAGGAGCCTCCTCCAGGTTTCCCATGCAGGTGCAGGGTCCCAAGGCTTTGGGCCGTCCTTGACTGCTTTCCCAGGCCACAAACAGGGAACTGGGAAGTGAGGCTGCTGGTATTAGAACTGGTGCACATATGGGATCCTGGCACATTCAAGGTGAGGACTTTAGCCACTAGGCTGCCATGTCGGGCTCTGCAATTTTTGTTAATACAGATATCCATGTATCTGCCCTTCACCTTCTCTAGTTCATTCTTTCTGTGCCTTTCTTCTACCACTGGATTTAAAATGGCAGCACCCCCTACTCATATACATGCTCTCTCGCACTCTCTCTCTCACACATACACACATATTTCCTATCATATCCCTTTCTTACAATGCTTTCCCCATGTTATTTACCACCATCTGACATATGTTTTATGTGTTTCTTGGTTGTGTACCTTTCACTTCCCTTTCCACCCTGATGAAAATGTAAGATTGCTGAGGGCAGGATTTCTACTCTGTTTTATTTATTTCCATATCTCAGAAATGAGAACATCGTTTGACATATAGCAGCCTCTCAGACTATTTGGTGTTTTCATTGAACGGCTGTAGGGACCACAGCAATATTTGGGAACCGTAAGAGTTACACATTGCTGCAACAAGTTAGAAGTGCTGACTTTGGGATTTACATTGCCCAAACTATCTATGGGCCAGATAGGAGAAGCCAAGTGGTTGCCACAGAGAACTCTGTGAATGGATGGAACTGATGTGGTTTGATGAAATATCAGTGATTTTTTTTTCTTCCAGCTCTAAAACTCTAGCCTTTTCTCCTCCTCTTGGTCCATGTGCCATGCCAAGGGGAGAGTCCAGGACTAAGGGCCTATGAGTTGTTTAGCTCTGGTCCTGCATATATTATTTTTCTCTTAACTATTTTTACCCTTTTGTTGTTTACTTCAGAAAAGGCAGTGGAAATATATAGGGAATCTTAGCACTAGCATAGCTACAACCCTATAGCGATGCTACAGCCTTTTATTTGTGTGAAGTAAAGTTCTTTTACTTGAGTCCATACTGATGTCAAATCCAGTATTGTTACATTTGCCTTGTCTTAGAAATCAGTGTACTCACAAGCTTTTCAAACCTGGGAATGCCTAGATATCTCACTTTTCTCAGCTGGCCTTCACATAATGCCATATTTAACATATACATGTAATATTACACAAAATTGAGGCTAAGTCATACACAAGTTTTTATATAGATATCAATAGAGACAAATAGCATTAGATACTAAGTTTTCAAGAAAAGTTTACAGAATTGAAACTCAAAATTGAGAACATTTCATTTGATGGTTTAATTTGTTCTTTGCAAAAAGCACTGGCCCATTAGAAAGCAACTGTAGAGTGTCCATCAACTCCATTACTACCAGTTGCAAAACCTTGGGTAGATCATTTAACCTGTATTTACTTTGGTTTCCTCAACCACAAAGTCAGAATGATAATCAGTACACCTAAACCCTAGGCTTATTGAGAAGTCCAAATAACATGAAACACATAGAAGTCTTCAGCTGGGCCAATGTTCAACAAGGACTTGAACAAACATCGGCTGCTAATATGTAACATGTAGGATCACAGTGAGGTGCATTGAGGACTGGGTTTGCCCCTCGAAGAAGAGGGATATAAAAATTAAAGGCATTTAGAGAAAAAGTAGAAAGATTAACACTAGGAAAGGTGAGGAAGAGATTTGGACAACACAGTACCACGTAAGCAGCTCTGTGTGTTTATTGGATGTGTCCATTAATTTAAGCCCTTAAAATCATTAATTTTTAATGACACAGAGCTTCATCTGATGGGCAGAGCCTAAAGTTATTGATTGTTCAGACCAAGGTGCAAGGGTTACCTCTGCTCGCAGAGCTTTCAACAAAAGGCTGTCTCAGGTGTTTTTCAGGTTATCTGTTGCCACAGAACCCTGGGGCTTGTACTGAGCATAAAGGACCTCCAACTGACAGATTTTCCATGGGTCATCCTTTACATTGAAGGAGAAAATTCAAAGGTATTTATTGTCTTATGGCATTTTTAAGTAACCTTTCACAAATAAGGATGTAGACGGGTTGCACATGAGTGGAATTGCAGCATCTTTGTGGCCTCCCACATTCTCGCTCATTCTAGAGGATCAGTCAGCACTTTCTGAAACCTGTTGACAAGCTCAAAGGGTTTCCAGAGTGGTCTCTGGTTTGGGGGTATCGCTTAGAGTAAGTTCGACTTTTCCTCATGTGTCACTGCACTGTACTCAGTTTGGCTTCTGGGGCATTGACCTGTGAGCAAATAGTAATGTTCTTGAAAAAGTTTGACTCCTGTTCAGTGCTTTACAATGATGAAAACTGAAGTTGGAAAAGGTTGTGGAACCCTTTGGCTTTCCAACAGGAAATCTGTTATTACTTTCTGGCTTCTTTAAGTCTACATTCACAGGTAAATAGCTTATACTTGCTTGTTTAATTTTTGGACTATTCCTTTAAAGTTTCATCTTGTGGATAATTGTATTTCTGATTTAGTAAAGGCTAGGTACTTGTCATGCAGTAAACAATATTACAATAGAAACTTGCATGATGCATTAATGGTTTTGTAATATTATTTACAATAGTACCAATTCTTGTTTTATTTATGGAATTTCCATTTTTCCCATCCGTCTTTCAAGTAGGGCTGTGTGTGCTGCATTGGGTGGTGTAGAGAATGTGAGTCTTTGCTGCAAATGAGTGAATAAGTTAAAAAATCCATTCAAAATAAAAATGTCAGTGAGCTCATTTAAAAAAATTCACTTGGCTTTGTGAAAGTGCAATTTCTTTAGCATGAATAATCATGAAGTCCCAATTCTTTTGCAATATCAGTAGCCAGTTGTTGAAGTTGACCCCAGCCTTTAGTGAAGTCCAGACTATTCATGGTTTGGTACTTTGCAGCTTTGGTGTGATAGTTGGTGGTTAACACTGACATTTTACATTCTCAGTACCTTTGATTGTACTCAGCACTTTTTGTAGGACCCTGTGTGTCTTTCATTTTTTTTTCCTGTCTCAAACATCACTACAGTACTGCTCACACAAGTCGCCTTTCTACAGTCTATCCATGTCCCAGATTCTTTTACATGATCCACTCAGATACTGCTGCATACCTTTTCCCTCTCCTTCCCAGCAGTGGTATTTAATGCTCTGAGGTTAAAACCTTTGCTATGTCTAGCTTAGGAGATTACCCTCTAGTGTGTGTTTCTGTGTAGATAAGATTACACATTTTATCAAAAGAAAACTTCAACCTTGGATAGGTCAACAGAGAGGCATATGATGAGCAGGTTAGAGACCACGTGCCACTCAGTTGAGAAGGACATTTGTTTTGGCATTAAGCAATTAGGATTTTTTTGCCCCCCCCCCCCTCCATGTTAGAGTTAAATCTGTGCAAATGCTTAGTGACTTCAAATTCTTTTACATTCCTCGGTTTTCTTAAGTTTCTTGGAAGACAGATTTTTTCTGAAAGACCCTGAAGTTCTTAATCTGTTCCAGAAGGACATTATATGGAAGCCAAAATGATTGAATAACAAAAAGCAAATGATATTGAACCTCATTTTCAGCTATGAGTCCTCTTATTTTTGATGTAAATTGTCAAGAAATTTGATTTAAGCTTCCTGCAGCGTATGAAACACAATAAGTTTATTTAGGTGCTAATAAAATACATATGATATCACATTTGCCTGTGTTAATGGGGGAAAATATGACAAAACACTCTAATCATAGATCATAAAATATACTAAGAATGGAGGAAATCTTCTAAAACAAATGTTTTTCTCACTGCAAATTAATTTCTCATGTTGTTTATGGAGTTTCAGAGCTAAACAGAGATGTTTACCAACAACTACTCTGTGAATTTCCTAGGATCTCATCTAAGAGCAAGGGATTAGCTAGTGGGAGGGAACAATGACTAATGACAGATGAACTTCATTCTACATTTATAATGATATGAAAGTTCATCTAACCTCCTGTTCTGAAAACATTACTTGGTCTAGAAAGAAAGAAAAAAAAAAAACAAGCAAGGCGTTTGTTTATTCTTTCTAGTAATTTTGGCTTTTTATTGCCCTTCCATAAACTTATAAAACTCCTGGTGATTTTGTGTGTGTGTGAGTAATTAACATTGTCAACAAAATGGCCTTGGAAAGGCCTCCCTGCGGATGCTGAGCTGTTCAGGGGTCAGGGAATCACTTCTGTTTCTTATTGAGTTATTCACTAAGTATAGCCCTTACTCTGGAAAGCATACACTTTTTGAAGTTTAGCTTCTTGGTATGAAAACCAAATTGAAGTCTACAAGTTAAAATGAAATTGAACAAGCCATCTGACCCTGAGAATGAAAAAAAAAAAAAAAAGAACAGCCTCTTAAAATCTGTGTTTGGTCTGGTAGCACAATTCTGTGGTGTTCTTATTTCCTATTAGATAGAGGAATCTTACAGAATACTGAGTCAAAGTTATTCTGAGACCATAATTGAATGACATAGCATTGGGCTACTTTGTAATTTTGTCTAAGTACAGACAAAGTTAAGATCACTGTGCAACCACAAATGTCATATGCCAATGACTGCTGTTTGTTTACCCAGTTATGGATTTGCCCTGGTTCTCTGACAACATCCAATCTAGAGCAAATTCTCACTTCCTTGGACTTTCCCCCAAATTACCTAATGGGAGTCAGGTCCAATAACAGGGTCTTTCTATCACCCTCCTACTGAGATACCGCATGGACCACATGGGTGTTTTCCCTTGTTTCCAAGAGCAGTAAGTCCACAGCACTGTTGCCTTTGGCCGTGTTGTGGATGTTGAATACCATGCTTCACGTGAATTTTTGTCCATCAGAATCCAACTTTTTAACTAGTGACATAATTATTTGTAAGAACATTCAGAAAGAAGCAAAGCTTGAGTGAATGAAACCTTACATATGGAGTGCCTGAAGAGACATGGAGAGAAAGCAGAAGTTCCATTTGTGGATTCCACACTCCAGTGGGCTTTTTAGAGTGTAGTTGGTTGTGAATGATCCCCAAAAGCAAAGGGAGAGAGGCAGCTTGATCTGTGAGTCTGAAGGGCAAAAGGGAACCAGGAGAACTGTAGCTGCTGACTGTCTCAATCATTGTAGACACAGTCTCATTTCATTCTTATACCAGCTCTGCCAGGGCATTTTCCTGCCATGAATGTCACTCTCTGACTTGAGAGGGGAAGAAATCAGAACTGAAAACAAAAAGGTAACAGATGTGTCCCACCATAGGGACTGCTCCTATTCCAGCTCCCTGCTCATGCTCCCTTCTGGAGGAGTGGGTGATGGCGCTTTCCTGACACCAATGTCCAACTGGAGACTCAAAGGTAGCAATAGATATCTTGTTTTGAAGCTAGAAAATATAATATCACAGCCATAGCTAAACACTATTTTGGTTTATCATCCTCAGAAAGTTTCTTGCTTTTTGAAAAACAAAACAAAAAACAAAATGTTTTTGGCCAAGGCTTCAAGCATGATACAACCGGCAAATATTATAATCTTCAACTGCAATTCAGCTATGTTGGACACATTTTCTGCTAACTTCACAAACTCGTTAATGAGTGTTCCTTGTTCTGTTTCTCAGTGTCTGGTTTATTTTTGTAGTTATTTTTGACATTTCATGTTGACGGCATGTATCCTCGACATGGTCTGAGAACAATTTGCCTCTGTGATCTTTCACACTGAGTACTAACCTCGAGTAGCTTGTGGGAAAACATCGGTCAGGGCACCAATTCTAGTCAAGGCACATTCTACAACTTCGTGATCAGAACTGCTCAAAACCCCATCTAAGACAAAGAGAATAGTCAGTGGGTCAGCTGTCACAGCCAAAGTTGCTTCAGGAGACATGATGATTTAATGTCATGAATTTAGCTGCCTAATTGAAATCTGGAACAGTAAAAGGACTCAGATGAGAGCTAATAGAATTTGAAGAAATGATACACTTTTGCTTGTAACAGTGTTATCAATATTTGTTCATTAATTGCAACAAATGTATCATATTGGTATAAGGTGTTAGTAATAGGGTTTAGGGTATGTGGAATCTTTACCATATACAGAATTTCCCTATAAATCTTAAACTGCTACAAGGTTTTTAAAGAGAGAAGGAGACACAAAGATCTTCTATCTATTTGTTCACTCTGCAAGTGGCCACAAGGGCTGGGGCTGAGCTGATACAAACCCAAAAGCCAGGAGCTAGGAGCTACTTCTGGGTCTCCCATAGGGTACAGGGTCATAAGGCTTTGGGTTATCTTCTGCTTTCCCAAGCCACAAGCAGGGAGCTGGATGGGAAGTGGAGCAGCCAGGATACGAACTAGCACCCATATGGGATCCTGGTGCACGCCGGGCAAGTACTTTAGCCACTAGGCTATCGCACCAGGTGCTACAAGTTTATTATTATTATTATTAAAAACTATCTCACCAGCCTTTGTGAAAATTTTAAGATTTTATTATGGAAGATTTATAAATCATAGAGAAAGGAAAAATTGCAATGAACACCGAATTAACAAGATGAACCCCATTTTGGAATAGCCATTTGCCTCTGATATAGGAGAGTCTGGTTTTGACTTCCCTATCTGTTCCAGCTTCCTACTAATGCACACCTTGGGAGGCTACAGGGATGCTTCAAATGTTTAGGCTTCTGCCATCTGTGCAGGAAACCTGGATGGAGCCCTCAGCCCAACCCTGGTCCAGTTGTTGGCAGGAATTTGGCAAGGGAGTAAACTGATGGTGGTGGAGCTCTTTGTCTCTGTTTGTTTGTCTCCCAAATAATAAGAATAGTAAACACTACGTGCTTAAAAAGCAAATAGAGCTTGATATTGTTGCAATATTGGATAAAGCCACTATGTGCAAGGCCAGCATCCCATATGGACACTGGTTTGATTTGTGTCTGTTCCGCTTCTGCTCCAGCTCCATACTGACACACCTGGGAAAGCAGTGGAAAGTGGCCCAAGTGTTTGGGATGCTGCATCCAGGTGGGAGACTTAGAAGAGGCTCCTGAATCCCGGCTTCTGACTGGACCAGCCCTCGCCATCAGAGCAATTTGGAGAGTGAGCCAGCTGATGGAAGAGCACTCTCCCTCACCCGGCTCCATCTCTCTGCCACTCTATCAAATAAATTAAATAATCTTTAAAAAAAAAAAGAATAAAAATTGTTCAGGTACAGACACGGCACAGTGCTTCACTGAGCTCCTGCCCTGATTTTCCAGTTTTGAGCCAACTAACATTACTTCAGCTTTAAGCATTTTCAAGCAAGTCTCTACATTATATACTACATATCTATATGTTCAAAACCATTATAAACATTGCTTTGAATGTAAAGTTTTCATGTAATTAGAATCAGATTGTGTCATTCTAAAACTTGCTGTCTTAATCCCTTTAAATGTATTTTTGCTGAAATTCATCCATGTCAATTCACTGTTAATAATATTTTACAATTATTAGAGACCTTCTAGAATAGGCTATTCTGGGACCTGTGCTATTAAATTCTCAGCCTTACTAAATATTTCTAAATTACAGTCATTCAATCAATCAGTTTATGTTTTCATTAGTTCTGTATAACAGGCCTCTTGTCTCAATATGTTCAAAACACTCTGTGCTATAAGTTATTCAGTCCTTGCCAATATTTCAATGAATGATTTTAGTACTCATGGTTGATCATAAACCAAAATGTATTCATTGGGGTTGCCAAATAATGATTTTTCTAGTTTTATAGATTTCCAGAAATCAAAAAATGGATGTTGATTGTCATTGAATACTTCTCTTGAGTCAATCAAAATGACCAACATTTTTTTAACCTTTCATAATTACTACATTCCTGGAATTGACAGTGCTTTTCTTATATATGTATTTCACAAACTATTGAATTATATTGAACACCTTATTCAGTGATTTAAAAAATACTCACAGTGGTGTACCAAACTACTCCATCTGCGGCACCAGCATCCTTTATAGGCACTGGTTCAAGACCTGGTTATACAATCCCATATTTGCAAGGCAAGGATTTAGCTACTGAGCTGGACCCAGCATTGTGTTTTCAACATTTTCTAATTTCTGTAATGATGTAATCATTAATCATTTAAAATAGATTTTAAAGTTTTAATGTGCAATTTTACTAAATGTACATGTATATGTTTTATTCATGTTTATTTATGTCTTATTTAATAGCATTTTCTCAGAATATATGCTCTTTAGAACGAGTCAGTTATGTTTAGCTCTCATCTGTTGACTCAAGCATCACTTGCCTGCAATGACTAGGTCAGAGCTGGATTGGGGCAAAAGTTAGGAGCCAAGAATGCAATGCAGGACTCTCACGTGGATGGCAGGAGCCCTTGTATCTGAGCATCACTGCTGCTCCCCCAAGTCTGCATTAGCAGGAAGATGGAATTAGCAACAGAGTAAGGAATCATTAGACTGGAACTCTGACTTGGGCCACCGGCATCTTAATCACATCTAAATGTCTACTCTAATGTTTTATATTTTTCTGTTAATTTTTACTCATTCTTTTATGATTTTATACTATGCCTTTTGTATCTGAATCTTAGAAGTTAATCACATGACTTGTCTTATTTTGGATAGCCTGTTGGAAGTATAAATTGTATGTCATAAAGTTCCCCTATTTACTGCCTATAATTCATGCAAGCAGCTTTGTGGTACACTGGGTTAAGCCATTGTTTGCGACCCTTGCATTGTATATATGAGTGTCAGTTTTGGTCCCAAATGCACTGCTTCCAGCTCCAGCTCCAGCTCCAGCTCCCTGCTGATGAGCTAGGGGAAGTGGCAGAAAATGATCTAAGTACTTGAATCTCCCTGCCACTCATTTAAGGAATCAGGATAGAGTTCCTAGATTCTGGCTTGGCTTAACTGCTGTAGCCATCTTCGGAGAGAACCAGTGGATGGAATCTCTCATTACTCTTTTAAGTAGAAAAACTAACATATTCTTTAAAGAAGTAATCCAATGACTTTTTTTTTTAAGTATATTAGCAGAGTTGTGTAGTCATTACCACAATCCAAGTTTAGAAACTTTTTGTCACTCCCAAAAGTATATTTATTGTATCTGTCATTAGTCACTCCCTATCCCACAGCAATACTCCAAGCTATCCCAGCCATTGGCCAAGACTTTATTGAATCTAACTGTATCTTCTTGAAAAAGTTAGCCACAGTTACTGTGTTTCTGAAAAGTTAGTGAAGCATGAACTTTATGTCAAATATGGATTCTATGTCCTGAATCCTAAGTCATTTTTGTGTTGTTAGTAATGCTTTCACTTTGCAGAATGTAGCTTCTCTGGTCTCATGGTCCTAGCTGGGTGCACTTTACCTTGACACTGTATTTACAAAGGAGCAGAGAAGTCTGCTTAGCAGTCTTTGAGTGCTACTTGCCAACAGACAGAGAGTTACAATTCAATAGACCATTTTCATGGTTTTTGTGTTTACTTGTTTAAAATAGCTTGTGGAAATAGCTATCCATCCACCAACTACTTTCTTCAGTAGTTTAGGTTTATCTTAATAATTAGGCTGTATCATGAAATTAGTAAACAGTTAGATACCTGCTTTCCTCTAATACTGATTAGCAAAGAATATTCCTTGAACCACATTTGTCTATTTTGATTAGAGAAGAGAAAATGATTACATTGATTATTTTGTTTTGTAGTGCTGCCGGCTGCAGACTGGAATGACCATGTCTGACTCAGTAATTCTTCGTAGTGTGAAGAAATTTGGGGAGGAGAATCATGCTTTTGAGCCAGATGGATCATGTAAGTGGTCTTTTTCTTTGACTCTTGTCCGAACAGAGGTAAGAAAAAAAGAACAACAAGGCAGTGATATTTCAAGGAGCTTCCCGGTAATGTTTCCCAATTCTTACTTAAATTAAAATTCCAGAGCAACCAGGGTATGACAAAGTATCTTAGGGTACCTTTCCCTTGGTTTGTACCCACAACCCCAAACCCCAACTTGACATCCAGGGCCCTCTATCTGCTCTGCCCTAAGAAAACAGGGAGATGCTTTAATCCTGTGGCTTTTACTGGTGAAAGTGTCAGCGACATCCTACTGTCCTGTTGATTTGTGAAGTGCATTTTAATGGGTAAATTGTGACAATTCTGGGGAACCAGTCAATAAGTATTTATTTTAAAAAATAAATTTTCAACTAACTTAGAAATGCTGATTTTCAATGAATATATTTTATATACTGGAAGAAAGTCTAGAAATGTAATCACAGAAGAAATCCTAAGCCTAAAATTTTCTACAATATGTAGATAGGGAGTGTGTGTCAGAATTAGTGTGTGTGAGGTGGGAGAGGCAGATGAAAGCCAAAAAGAAATTATTTTGTAATGTTCCATGAATGAAAATAACTTATATGAATATTTTTCCCAGAGAAAAAATTTTAATGACTATGTTACATTTTGTCTAATTAACTGCTTTATGCATTGTTTTCATCCTGACAGCTAATAATGATAAGAAATCAAGGTGAGTACCATTTTAACAATATAGCATTTTTTTCCTGAATAAATTCATAGTATTCTTTAAAAAGCACAAAGCAAAGCAGATTTCCATGCACATACTCTTCCTGTAAGATGATATGTAATGTATTCCTTTTCTTTGTAAAAACAAGATAGTTTTAAGAGCCCTTCTGGAATATTTCTTATGAGGTCTACAGCTCTCCCCTGCATGTCCAGGAGCAGCACAGATCCCTGACCTGAGTGAGCAAAGAAAGCGTACAACATCAAGGATGAGTTCATGGACCAGGAAGACATCTTCAAACACCCAATTTTTTCCTTTTGGCAAATAAGAACAACCTAAAATTTAGTTTTTAGATATTTATATTTGCCTGAAAATTTTAAATTCTCAAATAAAACGAAACTCAGCTAGTCACATTTTGGAAGCGGGATTTGATAGGGTCTAATTTAGAAGATAGGAAACCACCGATAAGTTCTTGACATAGAGGTGGTAGAAAGGAATTTAAGACATTTCCACTAATTCCTGGCAGAGGGAGGCGGTGGGAGTAGTCAGGTTAGTATTGGGCTAGGAATGGAAGGTCAACATGGGCCTCTGAGCATGGGTGTAGATGAAAGGACGATTACAGAAGTTGAGTGTGAAGTTTTGCTTTTAGAGAAGGTGAATATAGAATGGGAAAATCACCTGGCAAGACTATAACCTTGTTGGTTCAGCTGGTGAGCATGCATTCATTTATTAGATGAAGGTTAATTCAGTGCCTTCTTGGTGTCAGGCACTATTAAAGGTGCCAAATAGATAAAGGAGCAAAATAGGCAAAACTGTCTGGCCTTTAAGAAGGTATTTTAGTGGAGGTATAATAAGCAATCCAGAAAAGAGAAAACATATAGTAAATAATGATAATCTATCAATTTCTTTCTAAGAAGAAAAGTAAGCATGGGATTGGAGCCAGGAAGTGGGACATGGGAGGTAAGACCACTACCACTGTAATTATTTAATGCTCTGTTGAGATGGTGATCTCTTAGGGAAGGAGTGAAGGAGGGCAGTGGGATCTGAAAAAAGACCCTTCTAGTAAGCGAATTCAGGGCACCAACATGCAAAGGTGGGAACATTCAAACATGCATAGGAGACCTGGGCGTTGCAAACTGGCAAGGAGGAGGAGACAAATTCACAGAGCTAGCAGGGCCAGGCTTTGGCACCTATGGACCATGTCTGAGTAAGGACTCGGGATACGATTCTGATTTGGAGGAGAAGCTTGGTGGTAAAAGCTCAATGTGTCTCACATGGAGGTGAAGCTTTCTCTGGAAGGCCAAACTAACAAACAGCTGGATGGATGCAAAGATGGGCTTTCCAAGAATAGATCTGGGAAAAAGGTTAGAGTGATGGTGAGAGTGTGGTTCAAATGCCAGGCCATGGGGTCTGGTGTACATGGGGAAGGAAGCCAACTTTTGAAAGGGCTTATTTGAAACTGGTGGATTTAAAGAACTGAGGATCTCCATTGAGGTTGACAAATAGGTATGCAAGGAGGAAGGAAATGAAGACAAAAATGCATGGGCAGTCACAGTGACAGTGCAGTTAAATATGTCAAAAATGTAGCTCTTCCTGGCAGATCTATAGTTTATCCAACCATGGAATAGGTGACACATGCAAATACAGATCCTTCAAGCTGGGGGAATAAAGAGAAGTCAGCACAGCTTCATGGGAAATGAAATGAATAACAACGCAAGGAAGTCTAAGTGCAGGAGAGTTATGTGAGTGTTCTTAAAAATGTTCTCTCATATCAGCACTACTTAACCTGTTTGTCAAGACTTTCAGGGCTAAAAGGAAGCTTTCTAATATTATTAAGGGAAGGAGGAGTCCTTATACCTATAAAACCGTATCATGGAAAATAATAATAATGATAATAAACTAAAATAAACTATTTAACCCCCTTCAGTTTGTCCACAAGGAAAAGCAGGCACACTCACAAAAATAACTATCTGGCTAAGGGCAGATAGTTATTTGTTGGAACAACTGGAAATATAGGCAACTTTTTATTTATTCTTAATAGCTCTCAGAAAAAAAAACTGTAGTGAATCTCTTCTGAACATGAGATACAGCTATGCTATAATCTGGATTTTTAAGGTACTGGGGTTGAAATGGAATTTGAAGGTTTTCCTTTATGCTGAAGAATGAAATAATGCAAGTACCATCTGGGGAGAATTTTTCACTGTTTTGGAATGTCTGATCTTCAAGTCTTTGCTTCCCTCCTCAGGTCAAAAGATAAGAAGAAAAATGATGGCATTCGAGTTGGCTTCTTTCAGTTGGTAATAAAATTGTGCAAATTTATGACATAGATTTTATAATTCACAATTGTGAATTTTGAATTGTTCAGACCATGGAGAAGGTGCTAAATCTTTAGTCATATTGGCAAATTTTAAACTATAATAATCACTTTTTCAGTAATAAGGCTTACCCATATGATAACACATTGAATAAAAGCTAGAATCACATTACTGTTTAAACCACAAATCCTGTCCAATAGATCAGAAAAACATAGAAAATAATGACTAAATACATAATTATCATTTTAAGTATTTCATCTATTTGAGACACACATACACACACATTGACACAGAGAGAAAGACAGAGACGGAGATTCTATTTGCTGGTTCATTCTCTAAATGTCCAACAATGACAAAGGTTGGGCAGAGCCAAAACTTGGAGCCATGATTCCAATCCAGGCCTGTTTGAGCTACTTGATTGAGTTACTTGAGCCATCGCTGCTGCCTTGCAGAGTTGGTGTTAGCTTGAAACTAGCCACACGCGGATATTGAAAACTCAGGATTAGGATATAAACATGTTAACTGTGAAACTAAATGCCTACTTAACCCCATAAGTAACATTTAAGTAAGGGAAAAGGTCATTATAGAAATTACATCTGGGTCCAGTGTGGTAGCTTAGTGACTAAATCTTCACCTTGCAACCACTGGGATCCCATGTGGGCACCAGTTTATGTCCAGGATGCTCCACTTCCCATCCAGCTTCCTGCTTTTGACTTGGGAAAGTGTTGGAGAATGGCCTTACACCTTGGGACCCTGCACCCATGTAAGAGACCTGGAAGAGGCTCTGGGGTCCAGACTTCATATCAACTCAGTTCCGGCCATTGCAGCTGTTTGGGGAGCGAATCAGCAGAAGGAAGATCTTTCTGTCTTTCCTTCTCTCTGTGGATCTGCATTTCCAATAAAAAAATTAAACAAAATAAAAATGTATAGAATTATATTATGTATTCTTATAAGGAGTCTTTACAAATATTATAATAGGACTGTTTAGTCCAAATTTGCACAGGGTGGCAACTTTGCAAGGTACAAATGTCTCCCTTTGTCAGTGTCAGTTTTAGGAGCCAATTTATTTCAATACCAAAAGCCCACATAGCATGTCTCCCTTGGCAATGGATTGAGTGATGGGGGTGGTTTAACCCCACGGTTGTGGACAAGTAGCAAAAAAGTTCAAGTCAACCTCTGACACAGAGAGAAGAATTCAGAAGTCAAGCAAGAAAAAACATGATCTAACAATTGAAGAGTCTAATTTTTTAGATACTGAATATCCGATTTATTTTAGTGTAGTTGGTGCGAATGCCATTGCTCAGTTTCCCCCAGAATTTAGTGTTGAGAAACATTGAAGAGAATCTAATAACTAAAATGAAGTGGTGCTCCTGACTGCTTTTCACTCATGATGGTCTCTGAACTCTTTGTTTTCCAAGTTCCGGTTTTCTTCATGGAGTGACATTTGGCTGATGTGTGTGGGAAGCATATGCGCGTGCATCCACGGGATAGCCCAGCCCGGCGTGCTACTCATTTTTGGCACAATGACAGATGTTTTCATCGACTATGACACTGAATTACAAGAACTCCAAATTCCAGGAAAAGCCTGTGTGAATAACACTATAGTATGGGTCAACAGCTCCCTGAACCAGAATGTGACAAATGGAACACGTTGTGGGTAGGCTGCCATTTTTTTGTGTTTATTTATGTATGTGTATGAAGAGGGTCACATTTCAAATTGTGTAATTCGAAATGTAAATAAGTCTTTACTGCCAAGTTGAGTAGTATCTAACAGAGTGAATAGAAATGTAAATTTATCCATGTTCCTAGACCTTGAGGTTTTTCCCCCTCTAACTAGGCTTAAAAATCTTAACAGCATCTTAAAAGTCATATTTAAAATCAAACATCTTAAAAATCAAAAACACAATTGGAAATCCCCGATCAAATACACCTCCAAAATGTGCCATTTTGTTGATTCTGGGCCTGGGTATTACACTACCAATACTTACTGCCTCCTTGCAGGTGACACAAATTCTACTTGAGTCTCTCATGCAGAAACCCCTGCCCTGCCACCTCGCTCCAAGTCCCTCCTGCTCCTTAGCTCTGCAGCAGTGACTGGGGGTTCAGAGGATCCTTGTCTTTTCTCTGTAATGAAAACTTAATGGGCTCACTGCATTACCCTAACAGGGGCCAAAGGTCTCAGCCAATCCTTCAATTTTTCTGAAAGAGTGATGTGAGGCTGGGAATGAAAGGCAGCCACATAAAAACAGCTAGAACTCAAGACACTCAGTCACTCTGGGACTGTTCTGGTGATAAGCCTGTCCTTGGGCTGACTCACGGGGATGGCATGGACTTTGCATCTGTTGCATGCTGCCTCAGATTCCAAACAAATTCATTTGCACCTATGAATCCTCTTACTTGGGTTTAAGAATGAAGGTCAGGGCACTTCCTGGGTGGAAAATCACTTGGCATGGTTCTGCAAATGGACTTAAGATTTTCACTCACTCATTCAACTGAATAACCAAGCGTTTTCTATTTATCCATATACACTGGGGACTCATGGAAGCATCTAGGGTACAATTATCAGGAGTCATGCTTGTTATCTTTGCGGAGCTTAGATCTAGGTAGTCAGACCATCAGTCAATCAATGAACGTTCAAATAATCACGTAATTACAAACTGCAGATGCTTGATGGAAACGGCACAGGATAACTTGCAACATGCAGAATTACCCTTTAAAAATTAACAAGCACACTCATTAGAAATAAATGTCCTAATGCTTAGGCATTCCTTCCTGAACTTTGAAATTTCTTTTGATCCTAAAGAGGGCAGGGTTTTTTGTTTTTTAGCAAAACAGAGATTAAGCTCTTTAACAGTCTTTGGAAGGCTTGCATTTATGTTGCAGAGACAGAACTACTTTAAAGGAGTGTTAGAATCACTCTCCCTCATGTATGATGTAAATTGACCCAAACTATTAAGCATGCTTATAAAGAATGTTTTTTCGAGGGAAAAAACTATATATATATATAAATATAAATATAAATAAATATATATATATATTTATGGGGAAATCAAACAAAGATAAGCCCAGCCTTTAAGAGGGGGCCTAGATGAAGGCCCAAGAATTGGTCTTTTCTAAAAATGCAACAGGTATGCTGCTAGTTTATTTGATTTTGTTAGCACTTTTTTTTTTTTTGGATTGGCCTTTTAAGATCAGTATTTAAACCGTGCTTTATTAATTTAACAAAGTTGAAAGTGACTGCTCTGTACATCATGATCATAACATGTTGATGCTGTGAGTGAAAGTTTGCTGTCATCTAGATACTAAGTTTATTGGTGTTTTTAATGTCAAACTAGGACTGCAGGCTATCTGCCCCCCACCAGCCTTAGGCAGGGGTACGACTCGATCTGGGGACCGTGTGCAGTCATGTGGGACCTTGCTTTCTACTGCTCGGGGGGAATGCCTAATTACTGGCTTCAATAAGCATGAATCCAGACTGCTTACAAAAAGTAAACTATATATATAACTATATGTCTTATGCCTTGTAATTTGTAAATAAGCGTGAGCAGGATCCAAGTCTGCAGTTCATCCATACTCCTAGGTGTTTACTAATGTGTGAGAGGTGAATTCAAGAGCAAATCCACCTTCATGCCTGGATCGTGGTCATCATCAAGGAAGGAATTCACTGTGATGGCCCCTCATTCTGATTCCTCTTACAGGAACAGCTGCATAAGCAGACAGTGCAGGCTCGGGCTTACAGAGGAAGAAGGCATTCCCGAGAGCAAATGTGTAAAGGAATGTTTGCTCTTTTCTTTCAAAAAAAGAAAAAAAGCATTCTTTGCAGATTCCTGAAATTATGTAGACCATAGCTTTCTTAGGCCATTGCTTTGCCAGGCACTCCTTGACAAGTTATGTACTGTGTGAATTATGGTCATTGACATGAATGCTATGTGTTACACTATTAAGAAAGTATATTTGTTGAGATTCTGTGTAGTAAGATAATGTGAAAACACACCCAGATGAGACAGGTTGCGAGAGGACACTTTCCTGCCACGAAGAATTAACATGCTTTGGTAACATGTTACCCAAGTCTTCATCAAATTTCTTCCTCGGAAAAAGTCTATAATTGAAAACACAATTTCTTCACCTATCTTAATAGATTTATTGTTTTTGGCAGACACAAGGCAACTCTGTAGTTTTAGTAATGTAAGTATGCATGTGTAATGGTAGGAGCAGATTTCACTCTTTTATTGGTTTGGTTTTCACATACCAGTTGTAATCAAGCAGGGACTCTTTGGGCTAACGCCTTCCAAGTGGCTGTCAATGAATAACACTGATAAGGATTACAAAACATCAGGTCTTCTGATTGTCTTGTTAGGATTTCTACCCAGAAAAGTCAAGCAATAAAGTGCAAGAATGAAAATAGGTAAAGAAGGGGAAACTAATATATCATAGTGCAATTTATTTTATCTTTTTATAGCCAATTAAAGTGTGAACATTCAATTGGAAGCCACAAGTCTTTTTTAACTCCATTGTGGAAGAAACATATCACAATTCCTGCCAAATTCCATTGAACACAGGCCAAGTTTGGTGTGGTTTTGTGGGTAGCGGAGAGGAGTGTTGTAACAAGGAAATCAGTCTAGGCATGAGAGCCAGTGATTCAATTCGATTTAAGTCTATTTTCTCAGCAACGTACAGTGATCTTATGGAAGCAAACCTTCTTTGGAAGTTATATTCTTTCACTTTTAAAACAACTTTATTGGCATACAATTCATATGCAATAAAGTTCAAGAGAACATAGTGATTTCATATACTTATTATATGTCCTATAGCAGGATTGATGAATCGTGTGGTAGTTCTTTATTTAGCTAGATCATTTTGGTAGTTTTGTTTGTTTAACAATGTGGTGCATGAGTTGTTGTACATTCCTTAGCAGATTCCAACTATTTTACTATTTTGGAGGCTACGCTATACTTTTCCATAATGGTTGTATTAGTATATATAGCCACCAATAATGTATGAGGGCTCTTTTTCTTCATATATTTGCCAATACTTGATAACTTTTTTCTTTTTAATAATGACTACTCTAACAGATATAAGAAGATACTTCATGTTGTATTTCTTTAAAGATTTTATTTATTTGAAAGGCATAGTTAGGAAGGAGGGAGGGAGAAAGACTAGGGAAAGAGAGACATGAAGAGAGAATCCTCCATCCAGTGTTTCATTTCCCAAATGACTGCAATGGTCAGGGTTAGGGCAGGCTGGAGCCAGGCACTTCTTCTGGGTCTGCCAAATGGGTTCAGGTACCCAAAAACTCTTAGACCATCTTCTGCTACTTTCCCAGGTCATTAGCAGGGAGTTGCATTATCAGGGAACTGGGACTTGAACAGGCACCTTATATGGGATGCTGGCAAGGCAGGCAATATCTTTATCTGCTGGCTTCTTTGTGGTGGTATTGGTTTGCTTTCCCACTGATTAGTGATGTTAAGAATCTCTTCATATACCTGTGACCTATCAGAGTTTCTTTCCCAAGCATTTCCTGTGGAGGTCCTTCACTAATTCACTAATTTTCAAAACACATCTTTCTGATTCTGCTTGAGTAATTTGTGCTTTGTGCAGGAATTTGTACCTATCGTCTCACTTATCTAATTTGTTGATGTACAGTGAAATACTGATCTTACTGTAAACTCGATAGTAATGCCCCTCTTCATTTTTTCTTCATCTTCTTCTTTTTCTTTTTTAGTGGTCAGCCTAATGTGAGATTTGTCACTTTTGTTCTTCTTTTTTTAAGAATAAACAACTTCAGTTGTATTTATTGCATTTCATTTTGAAAAAATTTCTGCTTTGTTTGTGTTCTTAGTTCATTCCTTCTGCTTATTTTAGTCTTGGTTTAACTTTTTGATCCTGCTTATTAAGGTGAGGTTCTCATATTGACTTAAAGATTTGTCCTTTTATAGTATACATAGTTAAAGCTGTTAATTTCCCTCTAAGAATTGTTTTAGCCTCATTCCATAAGTTTTCATATGTTGTATTTTCATTTTCAGTTATAACTAGTTATTTATTAGTTTTGCTGTTGTATTTTTTCTTGGATCCATATAATTTTGATATTTCTAAATATTTCTGAAATCCCCAAATTTGTTATTATTTTCTAGTTTCATTGCATCATGGTCAGAGAAAATACTTCGTACGAGTGTAATCAGTTTAAACTTCTTGAAGTATATTTTGTGGTCTAGCATATGTTTATGCTGGAGAATGTTTCATGTATTCTTGCTGGTTTCTACCATTTTTTAAAAAAAATTTTATCTTAATTTTTATTCAGTTTATAACATTTAGTGTGATTTGTAGATAGAATTCTGAGAACATATGATATAAACTCCCTTCCCTTTCTCTTACTTTTTTCTACTTTTTGAGATAATGTATTTTAAATTTATATTACATTAAATGACTTAATACTTCACTGAATGAGAAGTTGAACAAGTAAAAAGCAGAGACTGTAGCTTAGTGGGACTGTAGACAGTGTCTATAAACCACCGAGTGAAAAAATGACCAAATGACCATTTCATCTAGATTCAGCAAATTTTAAAGTAATCAGAGATCATTAAAATTACAATATAACACATTTCTTTCTTTTTTCTAGGCAAAAAAAAAAACACTGCTGTTCTTGCAAAGTTTAGACAA